CAGTTTTTAAAATTTATTACTTAAAATTTGCATGATATTTTTAGAAATAAATATTATATATATTATAAAAATGACTAAAGTCAAATTTTATATATATTTTAGATAAAAATAGCTTAATATATGTAAAAGATATATATTTTTTATATATTTAATGCGTCCGGATCCGGAACCGAATATCCAGACCTTAAAATTTTACTATCCAGATCCGGATCCTCTTTTCACGGATCCTAGATTTTACTATCCTTTTCCGGATCCAGACTCCCCGGATATCCTAATTTTCGGAGCGGATCCGAACGGATACCGGATTAGATCTTGGATCTCGGATAATAATTCCACCCCTAGTGTGAACCACAGGAAGAGAGAGTTTCAATCCTTCTCTTCCAAAAAGGGTTATATCTCTTTTACCCTTAAACATTCAAAACATCAGAAAGAGATAAACATCAGTTTCAATCCTACGTTGAAGTGAACATACACCTTCCCTTAGATGACTAAACTCATACCATGTGCTCGCTGCTATTCTCTATGTTAGCTATGGTCGACGCAAAAGATCATGATTTGTCCAGAAGATACGAAATCCTACCCGAACATCATCCGAAACTGGTGAAAAATTATCGATGCGATACTTGAATCTTTATGGGTAAAATGGTTCCAAACGTACCGTAGTATAGTCAATAGTGGCAATAGTTTCTTGAAATTTTAGAACTTATGAACTTGTATTACATTCACCCAGATAGTCTAGTAGTATGCTATTAACATAACTCTTTTGCAACATCCGAGATTATTAATCATAATTTCAAATTTATGCATGTCATTTTCGCAAGTGCAAAGACATTCTTTTAGAAAGTTATGAACTAAAATCTGTTGATTAATTAATATCATTGTTGGCATCAGATCTCGTATCATGAATCCGGTCCATTTCATCGCAAGCCCATCATCACACAATGTCTATTACATGTCTAAATGGCCGAGTCAAAACAGTCAATTCTCAACATTAATATGTGATTCAATTCATGAATTAATGGTGGTGGTCAAACCTTTGAATTAATTTGTGAATTAATTCTGAAATTAATTGCTAAAGAGGAAGAAGATTATAAGAGAGAAGTGTGGAAGAGAAAAAAGGGGATTCTGTCCACCAGAAAAAGACTTGTATACTAGAAATATTGATTGTTCTTTCTCCTTCAAGATTCACTTCGTGTACTACTAATAAAATTACGATTCATATTTTTCTTGATTCCTTTTTGTTAATTATTTCTTCGATTTGATGTTTTACCTAAGGAGAAGCTTTGATCCCAGTCTCTTTTGTTGTGAATCGAATCATGCCGAATTCTGCACTCACA